TCCTGTTGCACGCAGCCGCCCTCAGAGCACTCTGCGTCCCTGTGTGCAAACCATTCGCCCCTGTGCCAGGCCGCACGCTGCCTGCTGCCCTCGCCGCCCTTCTGCCTGCACCACCCGTGGCCTGACCAGCTCCAGCACCAGCCCGCACAGCAGCGCGTAGCCGGACTCAGCCTCAGGTGAGTGCTGCCTTCCTGGTCATTCCTCGGCGTCTGCGGAGCCCAGGCCGCGACTGCTGTCTTCTCTCCTCAGAGCAGGGGACAAACGGGTCAGGGGAAGCAAGTGAGTGAGATGCATGTTATGCTGATTGCGCGAAACCTGCTAAGATGCAAATAAATGAATCTGCCTATTTTATCCATGGATTCTTAGTCTCCATTTCCTTTTTTCCTATCTGCACACTGCTTAAGAATCCTTGAGTTATGAAGCTCAGTAAAAAGTTTTATGGGTAGCAGTTTCTGTTGTCGTACCATGGAGAGACATTCCTGACACAACTGTCTCACGGGAGCCCTTCACTTGGATCCTGATCATGGCCAACCCTGTGGAAAAGAAGCGTTGAGCCGGGCTTCCCTTGGCTTCTTTCCGTCCATGTGCTGGGGGTGACTGGTGTGCTGAGGTCAGGCAGAAGTGACTGACAGTTCCTTCCATAGAGGATGAAAACTAATGCATAGTGCAGGACTTTAAATATCTTTGTGAAACATTTTTAGATTCAGTAGATTGAAAAACAGTAGAAAAATCTACGTCACTGTGCATGGCTTCCCACATGGGTGGTTTTTCAGCAGCGTCGTTCCCCAGGTGAGGTAGTCGCTGCAGAGGGGCAGGGTAACACAGCTTAGAAACCACGCAGTACTTTGTAGAGACCAAGGGTTAATAAAGCATTGTAACGACAGAGGGGGGCAGAGGGAGGGGAGAGCAGAGAGCGCTCCTTCCAATTAGGGTCTAATTTACAGGGAAATGCACAGATAGTAAGTGTACAGCTTGACCGATGTGTGCCTCCTGTGAGCCACACCTCAGCCTCCTGGAGCTGCACATGCGCTTCTAAGCCACTGCCGTCTGTGCCTGAAGCCGCGCTGGCCTGCGTTCCCTCGCTATTTCTCCCGGGCCCTGTGTGCAGTCATCGTGCGCATTCGTTTTACTTTCAGCGTAATAGCGCTGCACCCTAGGGAGGTCGCAGATTCTCTTCATTGACGAGCCAGCCCCGGAAAGGATCACGTGATACATGCTCTTCCCTTTACCAGGTTGAGATATTGTTGATACCACTGTTGAGATATTTTAGTTTTAACCTTTCGGAGAGATGAAGAAAAAGATGAGACAAAAAGGGAAAGAGAGGGTAGGGTGGGAGAGAGAGTCCTCAAAGCACGTCCTAGCTTTTGAATCCACACTGGATTAGAGTCTCTCAAACTGTGACAGGAAACTCACCAAACCCACCAAGGCCACGTTGTGAAAGATTCGCCCCAGCAGCATCGTACGGCAAGACTCATGATAGATCTTTCCCTCTTCAGTCAAACTCTGTGAGTAGTTGATTCTAAAATTATATGATCATAGAATGGATGTTTTCGAGTCATAAATTACATGGTTGCAGTGTGAGATGAAATAAATAGTTCTACATTCTGAAGCTGAACCCTCTTTTTGAAAAGTCAGAAGTATTAAAACTTTGGGCAAATAACCAATGTTTTCAATATGCCAGGTTGTGCCAAGATTTCCTGGATGGGTTACTGTTTCTCAGTGACCTAATTTGCAAGGAATGAGAGCCCTATGTGCACTTGAAGTAGAACGGCCTCCAGAGCAAGCTGGTGGGCGCTGGCCCTGGGCCTCAGTGACCGCAGAGCTGACGGCAGCTTGTCCAGGGGAGTTAGTCTGTGGGTGTTAACTGGACAGAAAGCACCATGGAAGTGGGGTGCCTTCCAGGGTGAGAGGTCCCTGGAGGGGAGGGAAGCCCAGCACAGAAGTTCCCTGGAGGTGAAAGCCGTGACTGAGTGACACAGCACTCACTGTTTAAAAGGGGAAACAAGCACGGTCATTGTTTAACTTGAAGAAAGCCAATAAAATGCCATATTTGTCCACCAAGAAAAGATAAAGAAGAAAGTAGAATGTAATGAAGGAAATTTACGTATTTAGAATTTTATCTCAGGAACTTGAGCATTTTGGTTGTGATTTGTTGCAGTCGTGGCATCTTTTTATTTGAGTGTATTTTTTCTTTTTCTTTATTTACATTGACACATAATTGTACAGGTTTGTGGGGTACAGTGTGTTGTTTTGATAAATGTAAACATCGTGTAGTGATCAAGTCAGGGCACTTAACATCTATCGTTTCGAGCACCTACTATTTCTTTGCGGTGAAACACCGAAACCCTTCTAGTTATTTTGAAGTAACTATTTGTTAACTAGTCACCCTACTGTGCCAGACTTGGTGAAGGAAGTGTAATCATAGTGTAGAAATTGACTCCCTAGGAGAATCTTGAACATCTGAAGCAGGGGAGTGTATTTTGCTGACAAATAGCTGGGTTTCAGCCAAACACAAACATCTGAGTGTCAGCCAAGCCCAGGCCTGCGGGGGAGGAGACCATGTCTGAACAAGGCGAAGGCCTCACCATAACTGATCAAAGTCATTTCCGTGTTCAACTGTAAAAGCCTCAGTGCACAGCGAAGCCTTCTGAGACCCTTCCAATTTTGAGTGCGGCCTGATTCATGAGTTGTCCTTTGTTCACACTGTTAGATTGGTCTCAAGTTTTTCTTTACTATGGGAGAGTATCATAGGTACCGGAAATGCGAAATACTCAGAACTGCACTCTTTTTCACAGAATTAGCTTGTATGTATCACCTGTTTTGTTTTTTGTTTGTTTTTTTTTGTTTTGTTTTATTTTTAGGAGCATTGATTTCACTGTTCCTGTTTTTAGCTGCTGAACTATCCAAAAGTTAGATCTTGTGTTTTCCACCAGAATTAGAAAGCTTAAGTCATCCGTGGCTCTTCCTAGGTGACACTGTCACCCTTGTCCCAAGACTGAACTGTCCTGGCAACGCTTCTGAACTCTCCTCTTCCTTTAAAGCTGCCTGGCTCATCTTGAATAAGGCCACATCCATTTGTGTGACTTTGATGAGGGTCCTGTCAGTATTTTCTATATTGAGAAGACCTGAGGGAGCAGTTTCTGTTTCTTGGCTTTTCATTTTTCTGGGCCATTTTGGGTGAAAGTTCTGAGCTTGATCTAGTAAGGGGCTCCTCTTTCTTTGGTGAGAGGAGGTGTTTCTGGAATTAGCCTTAGCGTCGGTGAGCAGCTTGTCCCATACACCTCCTCAGCTGTCGCCCACAGCCAGCCACTCTTTGGACACTGAGACTGCTGAGCGCCCCAGGATGAGTGGCTGAGAGCTCAGGCAGATGAGAGAGTCCTCTGGACCTCCATGCCTCTGCAGCCAGCATAGACCTAGAATGTTCTAGAGATACCTGCCAAAGAATGGTGTATCTCCACTTGTATATATTATATAAGTCGGTGTACTTCAAGAATCGCTTCCCCATTTTGCACACTTATGTAATCAGCAATATTTATTGAATACTGTGGATGTAATCCTAAACAGGTTGAGGTTTTTTTGCTTTGCTTTCATAGAGCAATAAGGTAGTAGGAAATAGGCAGTAAATCAAACCAGTCACTGCAGTGTGGTGATGGTGCTACCAAGAGGGGTCGCGCAGGACTGAGGAAGAAAAGTCACAGCGGAGTGAAGGCGGGGCTGTCACCCAGTGGTGGGGACACTGGGACGACCACGGTAGCTGATCCTGGCTGCAGCATGGTGCAGTGTTGCTGGGCTGGCAGGAGTGATGTGGCAGAGGAGAGGGGTGCTGAGACCCCAGCAGGAGACTTTGGGAGACTTTGTTCTGGGGCCACTGAGGAGCTGTTATGGATGGGTGTGTGTGTGTGTGTGTGTGTGTGTGTGTGTGTGTACAGTTTTTTTTCACAGTGGTAAAATACACATACTCATTGCTCAGCCTTCCATAAACATGACTGAGAGCAGGAAGACCCTCAGAAGGTTGGAAAATACCACAAGACAAGGCTTGTGCCTATTCTAGCAATCCGTAAGCCTGTCTGTTCGTCCGCATCACCTTGGAGATGAAACAAAACAAGTATGGTAATAAAAGATGGCCCTTTGCAGTAGAAGCCATAAGGAGTCCTCAGAGGTCGGAGATGGAGGAGTCAGGTTGCTCAGGGAGGTGAAGGCAGCTGGCTGAGCGGGAGAGGACTCAGTGGCCCTTGGAGGATGACTGGGAATTAATACAAGGCCTTGGGACTCAAGGAGGCCTGACACAGAGGTAGGCGCTGCAGGGAAAAAGCCTGTAGGGGAGAGCATATTGAGGTGGGTTCAGGGAGCCGGGTGACTGGAGGGGACATCATTCGGGACGGTCCCGAAAGAGCTTTTCCTCCTCCTCCATCCCGAATGTGGGGCAGCTGTCTATGCGGGTTTTACCCCCACCGTGTGGAAAGCACCTCAGGGTGTGGAGCAGGTTTTGATTGACTTCTTTGGGGTCTTCTTGTTGCCCTGCAGAACTGAAAGGGCTGTGGTCCCCTGCAGTCATTACAGAGTCCCGCCTTCAAAGAGCACTCTGGCCTGGTCTGGACTCACTTTCTTCTGTCAGCTTTTTCCGTCAGCTTCTTCCGTCAGCTTCTTCCGTCAGCTTCTTCCGTCAGCTTCTTCCGTCAGCTGCTGTCTCAGTTGTGGCCAAGGGCCCCATGGCTGTGCCGCAGGTTCAGCATCATGGTGTCTCATAGGCAGATGGTCACATCGCAGGCTCCCGTGACCCTGAGGACATGAGGGCTGTGGTCCAGAGTGCATGGCACTGAGCAGCACACGACTCCCGCACTTGCCGAGCCCCTGGGGAGTCTCCTAACTGTCCCCACCCTGTGTAGCTGGTGACTTCTAGGCCAAAGGGCTTGTTTTCCTCAGTTCCTGGTTTGCTAGTTTGTAACCCACTTCCTCAGAGGTCTCTTGTTTGTTCACCCTCTAAGCATTATTTTCTGTTTTCAAGGCCACAGAAGTAAGAGATGAAAATCTGTGTCACGCTAAGGGCGATAGAGCACAGTTAGCTCCCTTTCTCCCATGGAGCTGCAGTGCTGGGTGCTTTCATTGTGGCTCTGATGCCAGACCCCAGGACCCACTTCCTGCACCTGGCCTGCAGGGGCTTGGTGTGCCTTTCTTG